GGGTTATTGTAGATGATATTATAAGGAAGAAAGAACTGAGATTGAGAATCAACGAATCAGTTCCATACCACCAATACACGAAGAACTTTGGAAATATTCCCAAGAAACTAGATATGTAGGTGGTATTCAAAATAAGACTACACAGCCTTTTAAGAAATCCTGAGGACAAAGTCGAGAATTCGGAAATGTCTGGAATTTACGAAATTGAATGCAAGGACTGCGATGTAAAATATTATGGACACACAGAAAGGTCTATTAAAACAAGATATAAGGAACACTTAGCACACCTAAAATATGGAAAACCGGAAGAATCAGCAGTTGCTCATCAAAAAAAAAAGTAATAAATAGAGTTTATTCTATGAATTTCACTATAAGGGTTTTACAAAAACCGCGACACGTGTTTCGCTATACAATAGCTTATATGAATTTTCATCAAGTATCGGCCAGTACTATTCAATAAATAGTTGTTCATCATGTTTTGCAACAAAACCATTCCATAGATTTCAGTTCATTAAAATCAGTTTACAACAGGCATCTAGATGCCTATGAGAGCACAGGAATACGTTAACACAATAATACTATGAATAAAGATGGTGGACCAATACCTAATAGTATACTATATAGCTTGTTGAAATAATATTTTAGTTATCAGATTTACCTGACTAGTAGATAAGGCAATATTGTAAAATAAATTTAAGATAATTAAGACGCAGGTATTGAAGGTATCTATGGTATAGATAAGGACAAAATTCTATGTAGATTTAGTTTGATCTTGGTAATTGAAACACGTGTCAAAGTGTTAAAAATAACGGTTTGGTGTTGATGAGACTTATGGTGGATCACAGCACTGTCTGGTGTTTGATCACAAATGCATTGAGTTTTGGCTTTATATTTCATCAAGTTGCCTTGCAGTGAAAGCTGCAGTGAAAGACAAAACGAATATCGTCGGCGGTCGATGTCGAAGCTTCCTCAAGTTTTCAGAACTTTCGAATCTAATAATTTCCAAGCATTTCAAAAGATTGAGTTTCGAATCTCTCTCTTCCAAATGTACTTGCGAATGTTGTTGTATAGCGAAACACGTGTTGCGGTTTTTTAAACTGTTCAGTGAAAATCTCACGATAATATGTTACTTGTATAAATCATCAATACCTACTCATGAATGCATTTACAAACAATGTAATTTTTGTTATTAGTTTTATGGTCAGTTGATTTTTTATCACTGGCAATCTGAAATTTATGTGAAAAATTTCGCACAATTCTTGAATCGTTTGTGGGTTTGATTCAGATGATATTCTTCACATATAAATAATTTTCTATATAATAACTTTACTACAGAAGCGTTTTGCTACACATTAGCTTCGTCAGTCGAACTTGTATATCAATATATCTCACAGTTCATTTCATATAACGGTAGTTACGTAATTCGATTGGTAAATAATGGAAATTCTGGGTCAACACGTAGATTTTTAGAAAAAGTAATCACCATTCAATATTAATTCTAGGAATGCAGGTGAAAATCAAACAATTGGTGGTTAATGAAGATTATTTCTCAGAATTTTTTGAAAAAAAGCTCAATTATGGTTAGTGATTGACTTCATGTTGATCCTTTGATAGGGAATTTAGTCGTTTTTGTTCCAGAGATTCCAACAGGTTCAGTTTTTATCTTTTATTGTATTTATGTAATATGTCATAGTTCATGACGAAACTGGGGTTGTTCTCTAAAAGGTTGCAAGCATATATGGAATTGGTCTTTTTCAGTGCAAAACATCTTTTGCGTTCTGAATTTCTTGTTTTGCAATTTTTAGACGTACTTCTTTTGTAACCTTCCGGGCACGACCCTCATGTTAGCTCATAGACACCTGAGGTATTATCCTTTTGTCAATGATTGGCTTTTTTTGTCTACCTTCTATTTTTTTGGATGATTTTCGGTATATGTGAGTGTTTGTAGGTATTAGTGTTATTTTATTGTGGGCGTATACTTGGTTAATGGCCTGTTTGAATACTTTTTTGGTGAGGATGTGAAGAATCATGTTTGGATTGCTGGGTTGAAATTATTATTTACACTGTGATTTGTGCATTATGCTTCCATGGCATAATCACTGCTTTCAGTTGAACAACTTCTGACATACTTGTCGTTTTTGAAATCGTTGTTAAGGACCAAACTATCAATTTTATATTATATAATAGTTGCGAAAACTTTTCGGAGGAACAAATAATAAAACTGTATTTCTTCCAGAAATGTTTTTAGTGTGTTTATAACACAGCTATAAATAGGAAATTGGCACCGTTTTAGATAGTGTTTATTGATATTTTGTGATGTCTTTTACAATTACTACAAAAACAGTTCCATAAACATTTCGGCAGTAAAAAAATGTTTATAAAATATTTAAAAGGCAGTTTCATAAGAGTTTTTCAAAAGTTCCAAGTAAACGTTGTGAAATATAATGCAGTCTAAATAACGATAAAAATTAAATAAAAAAGTGTTAAAAATGTTTTCTTGAAGGCGCAAAAAGTAATTTTGTATTGGACACTAGGAAAATAAAATAGATATATCACCAACTCAAAAATAACAAATAGAAGGTTGAAACCATTTTGATATAATAGGGGAGCCCAAGCGGGGCTCCCCTATTATATCTGAAGCGCGGCAGATTGATATACAGGGGGACCTTGTACCTCCATCAAATATGAGCCCCATGTATAAGGCCACCTGTGAGGGATAAAGGATCAGATTAGTAAAAAAATGATCAGAAATTCTCGAGCGCGTCAGATTAAGGTAGGGTGAGTTAATTACCTGCTAAAAAGTGTATATTTCAATAATCTGACAATTTGAGAGTGACGTAAAGAAAGGGGAGGGCAGCAAAGTTATAAAAAATAACGTCATTTCGACATACTCGAGCGTAGCAATTTTTATTTTATTTTGAGGGAAATAATTCAAGGATAACGAAAACTCTATTCTCTATTCACTTTTTCTCTATCTATTACTCTCTCATTCGANGAGGATATTTTGGCTGAGAAGCTTCTTCCATCGATTATAAATGCTAAAGTTTTGAGCAAGTAATTTGTGGGTATATATACATGACGATTCATTTAAATTGATGGATTTTAATCATGAATAAGGTCCTCCTGTTTTAAACAGGAAGCACTAGGTTACGTGAGAAAAGTTGGAGTATTTTGTTAGTATTTCCCATATACAGGGTGACTCAAAAAGCTTTCAAAAAATTTTTTGTGGAACATTCAGTCATTTCTTCGTCTATTTGACGTGCCTTGAAATGAATCTGAAGCTATTACTCTATGAAAAAAAATCATCGATTTTAAAAAATAATAGCAATTTATTTCATTCGTCTGAACGTCTAAACGAACCAATTTTCTCAATTTTTTTTTCAATGACTGATATTACACGACATTATCGAGTATATAGTTATTAGGACCCTAGTCAAATGAAACTGACCAATTATACTTCATCACACAACCTCTAAAATCAATGTCAGCTGGTTCTTCTTCAATGCTGCATTTTATTCTTGGCAACAGCAATTATATATTCGCGGAAGCAATTCGATTTTATGAGTCATTTTGTGGTTTTGAATTGTAGTAAATATACCATACTATGAAATAGTTGGGAAATTATCATTGTGTTTGAAAGCATTCCAATAAAACAATTTAATTGAAGCTACAGCAAGCAGTTATGAAATAAGCTTGGAACGGTTTTATAAAGATCATACAAATCTCACAGAAATGTGCTATAAAACTGCTACAAAACAATTACCTTTTATAGAAAAATATGTTTTATACGTTAGTTGTAAAAACGTTTCTGTGATAATTTCGTGACTATTTTATAACGGATTTTTAATTTTATTTTATAAACGTTTCTATGACAAATTTATAAAACACTTTTATTGCTTATAACTATATGGTGTTCACTGCTCGTCTTATATAATTAATCAGCATTTTGGAAGTAATTATAAAATATCAACAAAATAAAACTGTTGCAGTATCATGGAATTATAAAACAATTTTGCTGGTTGGGGATGAAGAAATATTCAGCATATTCTCAATAAATATAATTGTCATGTAAATGATTAACGTATTCAAAAAACACTTTATTGTGAGATGTTCACTAAAAAGTTTTACAAAAACGCAACACGTGTTTTGCCATACAATGGCTTCTCCAGGTGTGTCTTTAAATGATTAGTTAAACCTCGATGTGACATATAACATATATTTTTTTGACGCAAGAAAGTGACTTCACAGTGAAACATTTACTTATGATGCACTTTTTGGAACCTTTGGTGTAGTAATGAATATTACTGGAGTTTTTTCCCAACTCCAAATCGTTATTTTTAACACCTCGACACGTGTTTCGATCACCAAGTGATCATCTTCAAAGAGGAAGATTAAAACTCGTCACTTGTCAATATTTCACAAATAAAATCATTTTTATTCCATACTGTTTTAGAAGATTAAAACTGTTCATCTTCAAAGAGGAAGATTAAAACTGTTTTAATCTTCCTCTTTGAAGATGATCACTTGGTCATCGAAACACGTGTCGAGGTGTTAAAAATGACGATTTGGTGTTGGGAAAAAACTCCAGTAATATTCAGTGAAACATTTGGTGACATCTTGGAGATGTTTCTGTCCCAGATATATTTTGCTCGTGCCTATCGTGATTTCTCTGATGAACTTATTAGTAAACTCGAATCTTTGAGCAACTGGCAACCAGACTCAGTTCTTTTAATATCGGATGAAAAGTAAGACTTACCTTTTGAATTGAAGATTTGTTTCACACCTAAAATGGTTTGTCTATATTGGTTGAGTAATTATTCTAGAGGAAGATATTTCACAAACCTCTGTATATTAATCGCATATTCAATTTCTGGTACAGTTCGGACAGAAATAAAACAATGGTCACGGCAATCACCTTTGGAAAACCCACTTTGATTATGAATAATGTATTCGCCACATTATGCATTCCTATACAATTGTTAAGGGAAAATATTGGAATTCGTTTGAATTAAGTTATTCCGGAAAAATCTATTCAGCCAATGTCTACAGCAACATATGCAACTGTGTTTATTTTCGGTAGAGAAAATCGGACAATAATATTTGTCGAGCAGATAACGCACTGCAAGCCCTAGATAGGGAGACCTAATAGACACAATAAATCCATCATTGTACTTCAAATCAGTAAACGAATGAAGTAGTGGAGAGTGTTGAAATAAGAGGGACCATGACCAAAGGATATTTTTTACTAGTTATTGGTGTGTTGAGTGCGATTTGGTTATCGAATGGTGAGTTCACTAGTAATAGAAAATGTGAAAGATATAAAATTATGATAAGATTCAAAATAGTTCAGCATACATAAATAAACAGAATGGACTGTACAAGTATTCTCATAAATTTTGTTTTGAGAATATTACTGAAATGTAAATTCTGAAAATATAAAAGTCTAAAACAAGGCAGTTTGTAAAGTAATTCGCTATTTTTTTATAATCAGTAATTTTTCAGTCAGAGGGTGTTCAATCACATGACTGAAATGAGTAAATCGGAAACTATAAGAAATGTTGACCATTTTAGAGATTATTCAAATTAGGTTTGGAATTCACTGATTGCACGATCATGTTGATATATCACTGAAGAACTGTTAGCAAAACTGTTAACTATACTGAGTGATTTTTTTCCAGTCTATATAGTAAAATAAGTATAGATTTCTCAAAGACTAAATAAGTAGAACTCTGTGAACGCCATCTTGTACAGCTTGAAAAGTGACAATGAGAAATGTTTTTTGTTTTTCATTATCTTTTCAAATAACGTCAGAAAAAAGTGGGTTCAGTAAATTTTCTTTTTTTTTACTCAAGAACTAATCGGGATTTCCTAAATTGTAAAACGTCATTTGAATATGTTCTAGAATGAATGAAGTTTTTTTCTATTCAACCGACTATGTACCTGTGTGATTTCTATTTTTCTCATATTGACCTTTCCTATCTTGGACACAGAGAATATTAAATTTAAAATAATCGAATTCCTGAAATGATTTCCTTCAAGAGAGTGAAGTCGCAATATTGTGCAATGAATCTTTTATTTCTTCGAGCATAATTTAATACCCATTACTTATTCCTAAAGTCATTAGGTCAAGGTTCCTTTTGTTATTCTCTCAGAATATGAAAGTAAACTACTGACCATATTTTACACAAATCATTTTCTTTCCAAAATATTTCCAACCGATACGACAAAAATTGATTGCCCTCTCCTCTGGTCTGCATTATAGTAACTTAAAATTCCCATCTATTGAAAACAGGTTTCCCACACCAGGACAATAATTCCGCGCGGTTCGCTAACCAAGTTTGCATCATCAGGAGATGACTAAGATGTCAGTTTCAGTCATCTTCCGATGATTGTTAGTGAAACACTTGTCGAAAAACAGCATTTTTGTTCCGGTGAGAAAAATTGTTTTCAATAGATTTATTTAATGCCAGAGGTTCCAAATTCCGTTTATATCAAAATTCCCATAATGATTATATCCGAATATATGAAGAGTGTTTCTTAATGATATGATGATTGTATTCAAGAAGGATATTTTTGAAGCACTGGGCGGTAAAGTTTGAAAAAACATTTTTTTTCCATTGGTAAGACCCTTAATATTTTTGTGAAACTCAGTATGCATGTCTTATACATGGTCCATTATACGAATCATGAGTTGTAGTAATGCATTACATGTACGGGCTGGAACTCAGTAAGGAAAAAGTATGTTGAAAAGATAAATGAAAATTTCTATGTTTTTTACCACTTTCATGTGGAAATAAAAAAACATAGAAATTTTCATTTCTCTTTTCATCATGATCTCCTACCACATAGTTACGGCTACATCCATCAATTTATTGAAAAAAGTATGTAATCCGCCATTTTTGCAGCTGCGGCCATCTTGAAGTTGCATCTTTTTCAAAGTGTACTACTATTCTACTATTGAAGCCCCGTCATTTGATACCCATATTGAGGTATTTGTGAAACAATATGTTAGGCGCCATTATGAACCTGCAGCCATCTCAGATTCACAATGATTCAGAATTTATTAAATTGTATAGTCATCAAAACTTGTGTGTACCGAATATCCGATCAATCTTTCAACAGAAAGGGGGTTAAACTTCAATTACTAAATTTAACCCAAACGAACAAACAGGGCAAGCTAGATAACACCGTTTAAAAAATGAAAAAGACATGATAGAGTTTCATTCAGATTGTGACTGAATGTGATGTGAATGTCTCATGTTCTTAAAACAGGAATCAATAAAAAATACAAAAATAAAATGAAATATAACAATTTTAATAGAAAATCAAGCAACTGTACTATAGATTTGTGATGCACTGTTTGGAACCTTTAGTGTAGTAATTATTATTATTGGAGTTTTTTCCCAATACCAAAACGTTATTTTAACACCTCGACAAGTGTTTCGATCACCAAGTGATCATCTTCAAAGAGGAAGATTAAAACAGTTTTAATCTTCCTCTTCCTTATATCAGTGAGGAGTCAACCTATTTTATTGTATTAACATGTTTCAATTGTTTAAATGTAACATTCTTTTCGACACAGCCATCCTCACTAACAGTAAGTTGAGCCCTTTGTAATAATTTTATATTGTACATATAAATTTTGTAGCTCTTTCTTGAAGAAAAATGATAATTAATTTTATTGAATCATTTGTCTACAAAAAGGATTTGAATCATCTTCATGGCTCTACTCAAACTTGACGTTTTATCTTCTTGTTTATTCTTTTATACGATTAGAATTCCTCACTGCAAGTATTTGTTCTTTCCTGTCTTCCGGATGTCTCTTTACCTGATGTAACCCAAATACAGGCAAATTTATGGATGCAAATTCATACAAGCAAAATAAAAGAGACATCCGGAAGACAGGAGAGAACACATACCTGCACTAAGGTGTTCTAACCGTATAAAAGAACAAACAAAAAGATAAAACGTTCAGTTTGATATATTTAGTGTCACATATTAAGTTTTCGACTCATGGAAGTTGTTCCGTTTTCAATTTTACTCTTGCTTGAAATTTGGACTCTCTACTGTCATTTCGACCTTTTTCCAATTTTTCATATCTTTCCCAGAAAATACCCACATTGGCTTGTTACCAGCTCCAGAAATTCCTCTTTTTTGTTGCAAAGTTCATCTAGTTTTTTTCGTTTCATTGTTAAACTGATTCGGATTTTCAATGTATGGACGTTAATATGTCAGTAGTCGAATGAACGTATTTTTCTTCATTTTCATTACACTCGTATTCCTTTTTTTGATAGATTTTTATTCAGTTTAATTATTTTTATGACCAATAATTCAGTTACAAACTAACCCGAAATATCATACCTTTCCGTAAACTAAACATTGACCTATAGTTTCATAACTTTTCAGAAGACTTTCGTACTAAACATGATATGAAATTTCATGATTTTGAACATTACAAGACTGATGTAACATGTCGGGAAGAAAATAGTAAGTACTGATCAAATCGCTTTCGAAACACATTTTTAGTTTTGGTTAATGTCAAATTATTGCGTTTAATGAATCGAGTTGTTTTGTGTACAGATTTTCGTACATTCATAATTCACAAATTATTTTATGTACAAAGTTATCCACACAAGACAAAGTGGAAATCGTTCTTTTATATGGTGAGAAATATTCACTTTAGTACCGTGGAAAGGATATTGAAAACATTCAAAAAAACTGGCTCTGTGGACAATCGTTTCAAGAAACTGCATAATCCAATAAAGTTTAACGAAGAAGAACAACTCGATGTTTGTTTGAGAGTTGTTAAAAACGCAAAAACTATTATTAGGGGTATAACAGGAGTTGGCAGAGAAACTGTTAGAAGAAGTTTGTTCAAAAAGAAATTCCATCCCTATAAACCAAAGTTCCCACACATTCTTAAAAAAAGAGATTTCGATAATCGAGTGGGATTTTCATTTAGGTTCTAAGGTGAGAGAAAAAATGATATCGTATTTCCCTACAGGATTTTATGGATAGCTGAGGCAACTTTCATGTCGAACGGAACAGTTAGTTCACAAAATTATCGCTGTTGGTCCAACAATAGTCCAAATTTTGTAATAGATTCGTAGATTGCCGCGACCAATATTCATTCAAGGCAAATGTCTGGTGTGGGTTATTACATAACCAAATAATTGGTTTTTTAGAGAAAATTTGAACGCAGACATTTACACAAATTTTATTATGAATCAGTTATCTGAAAATTTGGATAAGCTGCCTCTAAGTGTTAAAACGAAATTTGTGGTATCAGCTTGACAGGTCACCGATCCACCAAACGGTAGAGGTGGAACAGTGTCTCTGTCAGATGTTTAGGGGCAAATGTATAGGACGAGATTGGGAAGGTAAGTGGCCACCAAGATCATCGAACTTATCTCCGAGTAAGGTCGGCCGACTTCTGGACACTTAACAGTTATAGCCAGATGATGACAAATGCGACTTTGTCGAAACGTCGTGAGATTGAAGATAATAGCATATAACACGGATCAAAACCCGGAAAACAGTTCAGCTTATATATGTGTGTGTGGGTTCGGAAAGGTTTCTGCGAAACCGCGTCTGGAGTTTTGTGTTCGACGTTTCGGCTCTAATTCTGGAGCCATTTTCAAGAAATTGATGTGACTTGACGCCGGAGTTTCAGTCTGCCTACTTCCTAGGTCTAGTCGCAACTTCTCTCTAAGATTTCAATATGCCTACTCCTTAGATTGTACTGAGGTATCGATGAGTATTCGGTGGTATTTATATCGGCGGGAGCTACTGAAGTGGAAATGTGGGGGCGGGGCTTCGGGTGATTATCATCACGTTATTTTTATTTATTGTTTTCATTATCGGATACATCAGTAAGTACAGTGGTTGATTGTGAGACCACGACAATAGGCTTATGGTATGAGAAATGAGATACAAATGTTTTCGAATGAAAATTAGAAATATATCCAGAGAAAACTGCATCAATTGTTGTTCCACGTCTTGTGGTAGGCTAATTTCGGTTACTATCCATTTGTAGTTCTAATTTATCTTGTATAAAGATTAGCACTTCGGACACGAAATTAACATTGAAATCTCCTGCTAAAATTAGTGGCAGCGTATGATAGTTTTCTCCTAATTCTTCAGAGCCTACTCGACCGTAAATGTGTGCTCGCACCTCTCTTTCTCTCTCTTGCTCCTACAGTAATATACGAAACGTAAGTCTCTTTTTTATCTTCCCTAACTTTTACTTCTCTCTCAACTTCCATTCGCCTCCCTAAGTCAAGCGCGCGTAAAGAAGTTTTACTTCAAGAAACCCAGTTCACAGATTTTTAGTCACTGAGTGAGAGTACGTATCTCTTTCTATCGAGTCGATAATAACTGAAAAGGTCAAAATACAAATATTCACCATAACCCTGCAATTCGAAGTTATTGCTAAAACCAAAATAAAGTGACCAGCATGTTGTAGTGTTTTTGTTCAATATCGAATGTAAAATGAGGTGGACTAGGAGAATGAAAACTAACGGTTACCAAAGAAGAGAATGATCTAATATGTATCTAATAACTACACTGAACGAAATATAACACTTGAAAATAAGAAAAACAATAGGTCAAAGCGCTGTAATTCTAATTACATATTCTATCTGCGGATATTACTTGATATAATTCATGGCAACATATTGAACAAGGTAATCCACGTAAATTGAATATTTTTCACTGCACTAAATTGTCGATACTAAAAATTGTCGAAATTGAGTTTTCGACATTTTGGGTGAATATATGATATTCTTCTCTTCTCAGGCGATTGTATGGAGAGCATTTTTCAAATAGAAGTATTTCGGATACACGATCGTTTTGAAGCATTCACAGAAGGTTATAAAGAAAGGGAAGTATTGAACTAGACAATCATATAAAAGGACGACATCGTAATAATAATAATGAAGAAAAGAGAATTGAATCTTCCTATGTTCATTAACACTTTTATTTGTAACTAACGGTACTGCAGTTTCGTTCGATAAGGACATTTTCAAACTTATACATTGAACCTACATCCATCAATTTAATAATAATTATAATATATTTCCCCCCGACAACACGAATGCCGTGGACTTATGAGTTTGGAGTGTCTACATGACAGAATGGTACTGGATGTAGCCTGTAAAGTCGCCAGGAAATCGAATCCAATTTTCTGCATGGTCCGCGACCATGAGAGATTAGGAATTGGAGCATTTCTCTTTAATGCAGCTGCCCGAGCAGCTGATGAACTCGGTTTAGTTTTCGACACTGAACGAGATCACAACTCTGTCACCAAGTTGGAACCCGTCCAACAAAAAGCTCATATAAAAGCCGCAGAGATCAATACACTTCTGTGGAAACATAAGGATAAGCCAATGCATGGGGTCTTCTTCAATAACATTGAAGACGTTGGCTTATCAAAGCGCCTGACTTTCGCTTTTCTCGGGTCGAGTGGGCTGAAGTCGGAAACTGACGGGTTCATCATGGCTTGTCAGGATGGTGTCTTCAACACCTCAGTCTACCGCAGTCGCGTGATGGGTATAGAGGTTCCTGACACAAAGTGCGCGGCCTGCCGCGAGGCGTCCAAGACCCTAATGCACTTGGTATCAGCATGTCCAGCATATGCGGTCTCGGCCTATATCCATCGACATGGCGGCCCTAAGAGTGCTATATTACCATTTACGGCACGCTTACGGTATTGATGAAACACCGGTGTTGCCCTACGCTCCAGGTGATAATGAATCCGTTGTGGGGAACAAGAAGTGCCGAATTTATTGAGATTATTTGTTCCCCGCCCACAGGCTCATACAATTTAATGAGCCTGATGTAGTCTTTCTCGACCACCAGAGCAAGACGATATTGGTCGTGGAATTTTCAGTTCCTGGCGAAACGTATATCGTCCGAAAAGAGGAAGAAAAACGGATAAAATATCGAGCTTTCCTCTTCGAACTCCGCAGACTCTATGCAGACCACCGTGTCAATATCGTTGTTCTGATTATTGGAGTCCTTGGTGGATTGATGCCCTCTCTACTCTCGAATTTTAAAATCATGCAGATGAAGAATAATGTCATTCTTGGCTCACTTGCTCAGAGCACATGATTCTTGGACCCATTGATTACTTACCGCAAGGTGTGGGGAGAGATCGTCCAGTAAAAAGCTCATATAAAAGCTGCAGAGATCACATCACTTCTGCGGAAACACAAAGATAAGCCAATGCATGGGGTCTTCTTCAATAACATTGAAGACCTTGGCTTATCAAAACGCCTGACTTTCGCTTTCCTCAGGTCGAGTGGGTAGCTGAATTGTAAAAAGAAATTTCTTGGTGGGAAACAAATGAAATGAAAATTGATCCTACTCAACAAATAAGGACAGTCTATTATGCCGTTCAATACTTTATGGAGAGTGGTAATTGCCAAGCAGTGTCGTCTTACTTGCAGAGATTGAAAGTGAAAAGTATTCAGAAGAACTTTATGGGCATATCCTCTTTCGGGGTAATAGCCATAACATTCAAAGAATATATGTTTGAGACATTTCCTTTGAACATATTCAATACCGTTTTTATATAAAGGTGACCAAATGACTGTCGCATATTCTAGTTTACTTCTGATGAATGTGAGGTGAGGTATTTTCAGACTGTCTATATTAGCAAAGCTAGAGCAATTTCTAACACAGTGATCAAATAATAACATTGAATTCATTACAATTTTGTTAATAAGTTCACTAAACGTAAGTCTACTGTCAAATATTTTGCATTTGTTGATGTTCACTTTGAGAATATTCCTGGTACACCAGTGCTTCAATGATGTAAGAACATCAGAAATAGGCCAGGCGTACTATGTTGAAAAATAGTGATTTTTCAGAAAAATTCCTTACAGGGTAAACTCAACGGGAATGGGTTGGGAAGGTAGTCAGTATGGACGAAATTGCAGTAACGTTAGTTACAAATAAAAGTGGTAAAAAACATAGAAATTTTCATTTCTCTTTTCATCATGATCTACTACCACGTAGTAACGGTTACATCCATCAATTTATCAATTCTCTTTACTTCACAGGCCTAAATATCAAAGAGACAAAACGATGCTGTGATCTGGGAAAAAATTATTCTGACGATGGATTCGAATGTAACACATTCGCTCCTGAAATGGCGGGAAACATGTCGACTGAGAAAAAATGTCTGACAATGGTGGACGTTTGCTGCGAGAAACGGCATAAGTAAGTAAAAGTCGATACAGAAGTGACGAATAATTCATCGAGTCGCTCGTATTTTACACTCCACTTTTTTAGGGAACTTGAATGTAGCGCCGGCTCTCAAATTGCGAAACAAGGTTCAGCATGCCCTGGAGATGGATCTGGAGACAAGAAGGTAATTTATAAATTCGACAATTTTTCATTACCGGATTCAGTTTCAACCCTTCCCGTCAGTGGCGAGTCCAGACAGTAAAGAAAATTCAAATAGCAAAATATCTCGTGTATGTTCATCCATCATATACATATAACTCTTTGAACAGCTCATATAATTTCAATCCAAAGTGCCATAAAATACTGGTTACTTTTATTCTCATCATCTAAACTAGTATGCACTACGAAGATTTCCGATGTATACAGAGTGATCCATCAAAAACATACCGCAAGGAATAACTGTCGGAGAAAGAATTTTTCGTATAAGTTCAAAAACACGTCAAATGATGAATCAACCGAAATAATGGAGCTGTAACTGAGGAGTGGGGAGTGAAAAAGGTCAAAAGTAAAATCACAAATATTTATGAAAAATTCAACCGAGGAAAGGAACACTGAACTTATATTTTTTGTGTGTATATGAAATCATTTTATAGCTATATCGTTCCTAAGAGTGTACGTTACAATTTTTTAAGAAGTTGTTTATCTTTTTCCAAGCGATGCAAAGGCAATGAACGCAATAGACTCGACGGTTTCAAAATCGCATCTTGTGTTATATTTAGTAATCGATGAGACAATACAGCATCATGGCGAGTAATTTCCGTATCTTTTAAACATTTTCAATATCTTATTCGTGCAACTTTTGCATTTTGAAAAGTCAGAATTAAGACATTATTATTTTTAGTAGTCCATCAGCCTATTGTTTAATTTTGTCATCTTTTACCATCAAGGACTTTTATATTCACCTGTTTTACACAGCGACGACAAATCTTCTTTCATGAATCCATTTGGTAAATTCGATACTTCAGGTTTTTTTGAATGTGTTAGAAGAATCTGTCATTCCCTAATAAAAGTCAGATATAAACAATGGTTTTTCATCCAGAGAAATTGTTACTTGAAGGTTATCAAAGAAATGTATTTTATCTAGTTGTTTATATATCTTTTACACATCCTTTCAGCTAATGGCAATGGCAAGGCAATTTTTAAAAACTCGAAAATCGGGCATGATACTATCCATATGAAGTTGTGTTTCAATACAACATTTTTCATTGTTTATTGAACATTTTTATTGAATTATTTTCACTCCAACAAGTCTATATGCGTAACTGCACCAAAGTCGTGTTTCAATGCACCATTCCCTGCTTCTTTCGAAAATTTCTATTGCTGAATTCCATTCATATAAAGTAGTGTTTCAATATTTTTTTTTATCGTTTTAGTACACAAAGGGTTCAATCTTTCATACAATATTTTTGTTTGTTCAACTAAAAACTGTGTAGGACGTCATATTGAAGTGTTTCAGAGAAAAATATATAGCATGACCTTTTGAAAAAGTGTATTCAGGGTGTTTCATTGAAGTTTTTTAAAGAAAAATTATGCAAGGTGTTTCAAAATAAAATGTATAAGAAAACAAAAATTATAATATAAGGTGATGAGGACCTAAGTTTTCAACGTGCGATCCCTCAATATGTACATGATGTCTCAAAATACATCATTCCAGAAAAACATGACTGCATTAACTTGTTTCAAAAAAATAATATACAAAACGATTCATGTGAAAACGTATACAAGACGTCTCATTGAGAAGAAAATTATATACAGGACGTTCCAAAAAACAAGGCGACTGGAGTGTGACGGGAGCCTCAGTTTTCAATGTGCAATCCCATTTAAAAAACAACGTATACAAGACGTCTCATTGAGAAGAAAATTATATACAGGACGTTCCAAAAAACAAGGCGACTGGAGTGTGACGGGAGCCTCAGTTTTCAATGGGCAATTCTAATGAGAAAACAACGTATACAGGATGTTCGCAAAAAACATGGCGACTGGAGGATGACGAGGACCTCAGTTTCAAACGTGTGACCCCTCAATGTGTACATGCCTTAGAATACATAATTTCATCGTTGAGTACGCAAAGAGTTCATTCTTGCATACAATATTTTTTGTCTCTTCAGCCTATATTCATAGATATGATTCGCATAAAGTTTTGTTTCTTTACAACATTTTTTCTTCACTTCATTCAAAATTTCAATTGATATTTTTCATTAAAATCTTTAGTAAGCATCTTCCTCAAGCAAAGAGTTCATTCAGAGTACAATCCTCGAACTAAGCTGAAGCATACAATGAACCACAGGTTTGTCGTCGCCCCATCTGCCTGTTTCAATGTTTATAGTTCCCTTGAATCCTATGCTCGAATTCTGTCTAGATAAAAAGAAGAAGAATAATAATTTGGCTTACAAATGTTTGTTCAGGAAATATCAACTAACATTCCAAATAAGGATTGAAAATGTTTCTTGAAAAAATATACCAAACGTTCTTTGAAAGTTCTCAACTAACAATATTTGAAATATTTTAGATGAATAAATGCGAGAATAGTTAAATGTTGAATTAATTATTGACAAAGATACTTTTGAATGAGAGTTGAAAATATTAGTTGATGATGTTTTTTGTTGAAATATCTATAAATGTAGTTCAGAAAAATGTTTCATGTGAAAATATTCAACTAACATTTCTATTTCAAATTCAAATTGTTTTATGATAAATTGTTAGCTGAGTTGTGAAATTCAAATTTCGACTCTGTGAAGAAAGTTTTTGATTACTCAAAAAAAATGAAATGATGAACGGAGTAATATTATTCACAGTTACTAATCATCATGAATGAAAAACGTTTACATGTAAGAAGACTTCACAGTTATTCTCGATATTCAACTTTGACAAAAAGTACTTTCAGTGTCTTGTTAACAGAGATTTCCTTTCCGTATCAAAATTATTGCAATTATGTAAAATGGACTTCCATAAGCTTGTGTGGTAGTTGAAACAAAACAAACTTCAGATTATGAGGTATCGAAAGATCTTGCCTTGTATACCCCTATCAAAAGGTTTCGAATGGTTCACAATGTTCTTGAATATTCCACAACATTCGAGACTGTCATGAAATTATCCACAAAAACTTGAGATGTTGTCTAACGTTTCAAACTACTTCTGAACAGTCCAGTATCTTCTGAAATATTATGGAATGTTTTAGAATGATTTCGAATGATTTGGACTGTTTCAGCAATTTCTAGAGAACGAAACTTTTGGACCCTTACAGTTGGAGTGGTTACCACAATAATCTGGGATGTTTCCCGAAGCTGCAAGACTATTCCCGAATATGTCAGAATGGTCCGGAATGTTCTGGAATGTTCTTGAATACTCACTCTCAAATGTTCTGGACTTTTCTAGCACTTCTAGTGTGCGAAACTTTCAGCCCCTATGTATTTAAAACCAGGTAACTCTTCTCGTGAACATGCCCGAAGAAACGCATGTTGCGGTTTTGTAAACAATTAAGTGAAAATCTCACAATAGAGTGTTAATTAAATATGTAATTAAAATATATACAGATCATATTGTTTTATATTCCAAAACCGATACATATATTTTAAGAGCCCATGATGTCTCCAACAGCTTCCACGAAATGGAAGAGCTACAATTCATACGGCGAGTGCAAACGAATGGTCTCATCCTTTTTGCTGAATGATCGTGGTTTTTCTACCTCCACATATGATATAGGAGTAGATAGAATAACATTGTTTGGTTGATGACATTGATACATCATTGTTAGTTGAACTGTTAATAGTATTGTTGTCTATGAAGTCAAAGGCAATACTGGAATACTAAATATAATTGAATTGTGCCTTTGGTTCTTAAAACAGAATGAAAATTCGCTAATTATGATGACTTGCCATTTGAAATGGAATATTTCAAACAATATTATGTGTTGATAAACTTGTGTGAAAATATGAACTATTTTTTCTGGCTTTCTTGGTGAAATAACAAAAAAGTCAAAACTCAATGCTTCCCAAAAAAATTTATTTCTTCAATACACTCAAAATAATATCATCAATTTTATATCTACACAATCTCTTATGATGAACTTTATTTAAGATTTGCTGCGAGGCCTGCCAGAGTGGAATCGACGCGGGTAAAGCTAAGGAGCCATGTGAGGAAGGCTTGGGACTCGGCCCCCCGTACGATGACACTTTCAAGCATTGCTGCGAGGAAGCCCTGAAAATATCACCCATTTCAACACTGAAAAGCACAGCAGCCTTAACTACACCAACAGCGACTACATATGATTTGTTCAATGATCCAAATAACTTCTATTCCAATACACGTAAGTATAGAAATTGAATCGATGTTCAAAGTTTAATATTCCCAAAAAATCTTTAATTTTTTTGCGGTTTCCCCCCTATACCGTGTAAGTGAAATTCGAATAGATGCAGGGATCTTAAAGATGTTTTTTACTTATATATAATAATTATAGATTCTATAGATCAAACAGTTGAAGCTTCAGATAAATCATCAAAGTGCCTAGCGGTATTCATTGATTTAACAAAGGCTTTTGATACTGTCTCACATGAGATTCTATTGAACAAACTCTCTACATACGGAATTCGAGGCCATGCATTAGACTTGTTGCGGGACTATTTGTCACAACGGACACAAAAAGTTAAAATCGGAGACCAACTCAGTGGGCCAACTCTAAGTTCCTCCGTGTTCCACGGAGAATATTTTTGGGCCCAATTCTGTTCCTTATATACATTAACGCTATATCTCAAATACAAAAATTCGATAGCCATATCATTTGTTACGCTGATGACACAGCGCTAATATTCAGAGATGACAGTTGGCACAATAACTTCAATCGAGCTGAGGAAGACCTACAGAAAAATCTGGTTCAACAATAACCTACTGAATATTTATATAAAAAAGACAAAATTTATGTGCTTTTCATTAAACTCTGACGACCAACCCCCTGTCAACAAACTCAGTGTACACATGCCCACCTGCACTAAGAATATGACATGCAACTGACCAAAAATAGAAAAAGTAACGTCCATAAAATTTCTGGGCGTAGTTATTGACCAACATCTGAGGTGGGAAGAACACATTTCCCAAGTTATCGGACCCAAACTATACAACCTTCTTCCAACACACCTAAAAATATGAAAAAATTAAGTAAATTCAAACCGACCCTTAAGCAACACATTCAAGAGAACCCGATGATATTCAAAATATTTTAAGACTCACCTCTAAATCCTGAATAGCCGATCGCTACCCTTTCTTCTGCATTATTACCATCATTATGATCACCAGTTTCTTATTATAATTTCTAGTTTATAAATTTATATTAGTCTTTGTATTTTTTGTTTACGCTTACATTTTTTATTCTCTACCACTGCTGTTATATGTATATAATGATGTTATTACAGATTCTGAATACATCTTCAAGTGGAGTAGAAAAAGCACAAAACCGGCGACATTCGCCCAGGTGTATTCTACCCGACTTTGGAAGAAACAAGATTATTATTGTATATAGATGTATACATTGTATATGAATACATTTATTCTATACTGTGAGTGGAATCAATAGATTTCCACTCACTCTCACACCGAAGATGACATTGAGTACCTGTCAAAGTTTTGAACTCTTTCAATATTGTTAAGTCCTCATCAAACAAGATCGAATACTATGAAAATTCAGTAGACATAATAATATTAATTTATTGGTTTCAGTGGGTTCTGCCACAAGTAAATATGTAAACATCAACTTTCCAAGTGAGTGAATAATTTCATGACTAATTCCTTTCATTACAAAAAGAAAGTCATGAAAATTTACTTCTTTCATGTTTCTCTGCAGTGATTCCTGTTGACAGGTCGGTCGGTAGCCAGGCCGTTCGACGTGGGTGCTTTCTTCACTAACTCGAATTGACTGCCGTGTTGATCGGTGGTTCAAGCCCTAGTCTGAACGATCAATTTTCACTTGCTATCGTCCAACCCGTGTTAGGAATCACATGTTAAAAGGTGAGACCTCGTTAATCCTTATTTCGAACAAGTTTCGACTTTTGAGGGTTGTCGTTCGTAGGGATGCGACAGCTGGATAACGAAAAAAATAGATTTTAAACAGATTTTTTAAACAGACAAAACCTAATACTTCTTTCTATGATGAATTTTTCCTGTAGGCCATGTCGTTTGTTTACTTCACATCATTATTTATCTTATTCTAAACCAACTGAAATTACCGTTTAGAAGCTTTGGTAAACGTGATCCCGGTTTTTTACAATTCAAAATTGAAATTGTGATTTGGCAAAATATGAGTACTTGCACTATATCTAGAAATCATGCAAACTTTTTTGGTCATAGCTAACTGAGCCAAAGTTATTTTTGGGTTTTTTAGAGACCACCTAAAAAAACCCAACCCATGTCTGACCTTTCTTCTACAATGCGATATCAAAGTCAATAAGACAATGGACAAAGTGTTCTAATTGTCCTCAGAGCAGATACAACAAAATTGGGTTGTTCCCTGGTTTTATTCCATTCAGAAAAACAGAAACAATTTCAATCTATCAGAATCAACATCAATAAAAACTGGCTTCCTGCACCAAATTGCTCTCGTATCAGATGATTTGTTTCAACTAATAGAAACGAAGCCCCATCACTAATGAATCAAAGGCATAGACCCAAAGCAATACTGAAGTATCTTCTTCGAGGGCATTTTTTTCGGGGTGTTGCATCTGGATTCAAAATTTTAATAGAAATTTATGGTTGGTTTTACAGCCGAAATCACAAAACATACACTTCTACAGTTTTTTGGATATATTTCGAAAACCTTGCGTTTTTGACAAAAGTTTACGTTTGGTTAGAAACAAATCTGTTGAAATATATTTTTCCATTAACTAGATGTCGCCCCCTACGAACGACAACCCTCAGAAATGGAAACTAGTGCGAACTAATGATTAACGGAGACGTGCCTTTCAACGTGCGATACCTAGTAGTGAACAGCATTCCATAAAAAACACACTATCCAATTTTGATTTTATAATTCCCACCTTGCTGGATATATGCTATTTTCTAACCACTGCTCAGCTTGTTGATGGGTTTCACTTTCTGTGGACGAAAAGCCGAATTTGAGCTTGCCTTGCATGTTGATGCTGGGGCATTTGAAATTGACCATCAAAATTGTATTTGGATTTTGGTTCACTTTCCTCATTTACTCCAATACCTGATTTTTTAAATTTTATTTATACTCTGAAAGGTATCTTGTAATTCATTTACTATTTGATATTCGTTTATGTTATGCTACAAATTTTTCCTTCGCGATTTTTTCGTGATAACGTGTAGTAATGAATATTACTGAAGTTTTTTTCCAACACCAAACCATTATTTTAACATCTCGACATGTGCTTCGATCACCAAATGAGGAGCCAATATGAAGGGCTAGAATACGATATATTTAGAAAGGAAACAAGCATGTACAGGTATATTCCTGACAGTTCACATCACTGTGGACATCACAATCATGCTGGGCTGAATTTTCTAGTGCATCTTCTTTTGATTTTTCCCCTTACACATTAGAGGTTCACAAAAGAAAAACGTACAATACAGGAAATAGCAGCCAGTAACGGTTTCTCGAGGGGTACTATAGGTAAGGAAGAAAAAGTTTAGGTTAAGAATGAACGAAATCTCGACTTTTAAAAACGACGAAAACCAAGATAAATATATCTGAGTTCCATACCATCCATATACGAAGAACTTTGGGAAGATTTTCAAGGAACTAGGTGTTAAGGTGGTTTTTAAAACAAGTCATACACTACAGAGCCTTCAAAGAAATCCAAAAGACAAAAGACAAAGTCGAGAATTCGGAAAAGTCTGGAGTTTACGAAAATATTATGGACAGACAAAAAGATGTATTGAAATAAGGAACACTTATCACACCTAAACTATAGAAGACTAGAAAAATCAGCAGTCGTCCATCATATTTTGCAACAAAATCATTCCATTCATCAGGATTAGTTGAACAAGTTAACAGGCATCCAGATGCCTATGAGAGTGAAGAAATAAGTGAACATAATAATATTATGAATAACGATGGTGGACCAATACCTAATAGTATGCTATATAGCTTGTAAAAATGATATTCAATTTATTAGATTCACCTGACTATTACATAAGGAAACATTGTAAAATCAATTCAAGACTGGTAGATATTGTGAAATTAATTTGAGAAACCTAAGATGCAGGTACCTAGAATAGGTATCTATGGTATAAATAAGGATAATTATTGTAAGTATATTTAGTTTAATCTTCCTCTTGAAGATAATAATTTGGTGATCGAAACACGAGTCGAGGTATTAAAATAACGGTTTGGTGTTACGAAAAAATCCCAGTAATATTCCTTTTATTTTATGTTCTTGCATTCTTTCTTGCGCAACTTTATGACAATGCGGAAAGCTATTTGTTGAGTATGAGAATAAATATTGATTGGGTAGTAAGCAATATCAGAAGTACGGTCCTAATCATTGTAAAATTCAAGGATTTTTCCAGAATGCAAATTATTATTGTTCGTGATTGAGGCTGTTTACAGAAAATATTCGTAAATAGGAAAATGAATTTTATTTCTAATCTTGAACAAAACACTATTATTCAAGAATTTTGTAACAGGAGATTTTTCATTGTGAGTGTATGCGTATGACCAAAAATTGATTCATATAGAATGAATCCATGGGTAATCACCGTCTATGATTATCCTTATTTGACATTCGTATTGATTGGAATTTTGAGCATTCTTTAATATGATTGATTTCAATTCTCGACAAAGCATTTGCATTCTTATTGATTTTTTGTATTCCTCCAATTTTAGTCTCCAGGGGAGGGATCTATGATCCGTTTTTGATTTAAATTTTCGTCCATTTAAGTGAGGACGAAATAGTTTCACTCTCCTTACTATAGCTAGTAATTCTCCCTCTATGGTAGAATATTTTGTTTCAACTGGGCATGATGTTCTTGGAGTATACAGAATGGGGAGGTCTCTTCCTATTGGTCTTTGTGAGAGAATAGCATCAATTTCAAATGATTGTTGTTAATAAAATTTTATCATTAAAATCAGAGCATCTTAGTAGTGGGATTCATTAGTTTTTCTCTTAGTTTTTCAAAATGATTTTGCACATTTGCTATCAGAATTGAATGGAATATCGATTGGAAGGAATTTTGTTAGGAGTTTTGAAATGTTTGCATAATTTGGGATAAAAGGTCGGTAATATTAATTTCAACATAAAGATGATTTCATTCATTTCACGTTCGTAGATTGCGGAGATTTTCGTGAAGCTTCGAATTTGTCTGCACTTTGTTGTACACCGTCTTTTGTGGTCGAATATCCTAAATATGCGACTTTTGTGCATAAGAAGTCGTAAATGTCAAGTTCTAAGTGAGCTTTTCTTAGTCCTGTGAACACGTCCAAAAGTCTTTTGAAGTGTTTACCCACTGTTGCGAAGTATACTACGATATCGTCCATTTATACTGAGTATCGTTCACCTTGTGAACCTAATAGAATATTCACAAAATGGTTAAAGCTTTCGCGACCGAGGTTTTCAGTGTCACTATTTTTCGGGTTTGAAAGCTGTAAATTTTGGGTATTTCTTTCAGACGTTTCGCTGACGCGAGTGCCTAGCTTCTTCAGAGGTTTAAACATCTTGAGTTTTTATCTCCGATGACTGGATATCAACAGGCGACCTTCTATCGTATGTCACTCATATTTGGAAAAACACAATCGAGAAACATGGAAAGATAAAAGCTGTTGCGTTTGATATTTCTGAGGCCTTTGACCGTGTGTGGCATGAGGGTTTGCTGGTCAAATTTCGATGCTATGGCTTGTTGGAACATTTTTATGTATGGCTCTTCAGCTTCCTGAAAGAACGTTCCCTGCTAGTGACCGTCAATGGATATCTCTCGAATACTTTCACCATCAACGCTGGTCTTCCCCAGGAATCTATTCTGTCTTCAACCCTCTTTTTATTGTATATCAACGACTTATTAGAAAAAACCAAGGACCCAATATGTTGCTTTGCTGACGGCAGCACACCTGCCTCGTCATTCCATTTAGATTCCAGGACATCGGCTGCGGATGCACATCTTCACCGGCAGCAGGACATTGCATATCTTAATGAGGATATAGAGGTGATTTCGAATGGGGGTGAAAGTAATCAGGTCCAACTCAGTGCCACTAAAATTCAGGCATCGGTTTTCTTCAGAAAGATTAACGTCTTCGAACCGGATGTAATAATGTCTGGACAGACAATTCCGCTTTCTGGTTCGATACGTTTGTTGGAGGTTGGAATGGACACCAATATATCTTGGCACAATCACTGAAATTACACACCTCAGCAACTTTGATGCTTTATGAAGCAGATCAGACCTTCTTTGGAGTATTGTTCTCATGTATGGAGCTCCGCCCCTAAGTATACTCAGAAACTGATGCAACCTTGATAGTCTGGAGCAAGGAAGATTGGATGTCTCTCTTTTATAAATACTTCCATGGGAGGTGTTCAAGTGACTTGGCACATATCGGACATATCAGAAATATGCGACGGACTGTGGCTGCTACTGGCACTGATCTTAGAGCGCCCTAAGGATTTTCCTGTGGTGCTTGTGTTTTGTCCTTGAAAAAATAATATTATCTTCAAAAACCACTTGGACTATTCATCATTCTGAACGGCATTCTCAAATACTCGCAATGTCCGTTTTTTACTGAAAAAAACTGTTTTTTCAATGACAGTTTTTTTTAATTTCAATTTGGTGAAAATCAGAGGCTACATCTGAAGTTGTAAAACGGGGATATTTGCCAAGTGGATCTGAAATGTCAGATACTCGTATATTTGGAAGTGAATATTTATCGTGAGTTGTGACTTCATTTAATTTTCTTCAACCGATAACGATTCGCCAGTTTTTCCCGGGCGATTTTTTTTCAGGAACACCCATACAGGGGAAGTCCAAGTGGATATTTAAGTTCTTATAATAGCTCGTTTCAACTTTTCATCTCTATGATTTTTAACTTCTTCTTTGTGAATGTGTGAAAATAATCTGAAGAGTTTCGTTGCAAATTTTGTTTCTATTAGGGTCGTTTGAAAAAATTTTCATTTTCGAGATGACTTAGTTGTAATTTCCTTTTGATTCTCTTCTATTCTTTCAGATGCAGTCAGAATATCATCGGGGTTAGGTTAGGTTAGGTCCAAGGGAGTGGGTCTATTTGACACTCCACCGCAACCCGCAAGGGTTCATTGGGACTCACACCTATTCACACTCGACCAAATAAACCCAGCTTCTTAACGGAGTCGATTAGTTTGTATGGTGAGTGGTCTTTCAGGTCAGATGGTAAGAATACGGCTCTGCCGAGCTCTAAGAATCTGATTCGGTCCCCAGCGGGGTAGGCACAAAGTATGTGCTGTTTCATCATTTTCCAAACAGAGGGTTACTGGCTCATATGATTTGTTAGAACCGGAGTTAGGTTTTGTTTATGCATGATAATAATTGAGTAATTTTCATAGGTGAAATTTCTAGACGCTTTTCACTAACACCGTATCTTCATCGATAGTGGTACAGGAGTCCAGCGCCGATTATAACCACTATCAAAGAGGCAGATCGTCTTCTTTGGAACTGTGAAATCCTTCAATAACCCGCCGTTGTTGAGCTCTTCAGCAATGTTGAGTCATCCTACCGCTACTGCGCCAATTTGTTGAATCGTAACTTGCTTAAGAAGTTTATGTAAATAATTTTTATTTCAGTTTTACACTTTTTTATTTGTCACTTGTTATACTCGGTTCATTTCTATTTATTTTCTTGTTTCTCATCCACCTTATTAGGTTTGCCAGCAAACTAGTCGATATTAGGTTAGTAGGGACCGCACTAGAATCGTTTTGGTTTGCCAGGTATCTAGAAGGACCACACTAGAATGGATTTATGAAATTCTGGGTGATGATTCAGCATCCTTGAAATAGATAAAATTAATCTGCATTTTAAAATCAAGACGCACTAGTTTCAGGGTGACAAATACCTATTGTATTTGAATATATAAAATACATTTTCCAGTTGAAAACATTAATATTGTACAACTGTTACAAAGCATTAATATGTTACAATATGTTACAATCCGTAAATTTTCGATAGCCCCAAATTTTATACGTGGATCTGTTGCTACCCAGTAACTGAAAAAGAGATGACCTAAATGACAAATGACATCAAATACACAAAAGAAAAAGTTTTACACAACAAAACCGCAACACTTTTTCCAAAGCCCGTCTCATGTTGGTTCTACCTTTCATGAGTAACGATTATTGTGGAATCGCAGCATAGCAGAAGACGACTTCGAGATTGGAATTTTTGAGTCATAACATTTATCTTTCAACTGGGAAACCGATACCAATAAACAGGAAGCAAAATTTTTAGGAATATGTAGCAAATCTAGTGCTAACAGTTCAAGACGAAAATTTCTCTCTGAAAATATAGGTGAACTGTTTATCTTTACTAACTGATGATGATAATATTATTGAACTAACTGATAAATTTGACAGGTATTAGAGATGAATGCTGTTACACATTTGAAAATCCAAAGTAGGGGGTAACCAAAGGAATACAACACTCGGTTATTGAAAATCCGTTCAATCGAACTATAAATAAGTGAATACGAAACATAAATTCCAATATCGGCTCCATAAAACCCAACTATTCTTCCATTTGATTTTTCACTGGCCCGGTATATCCCCATCAAATGTTTGATGAAATATTTTCTTAACTTTGTTTTCAATTTTGTCCTCAGCTCCAGAGAATATATGTGATTCTGACGTATGTGCACAAATTTGCGAGCCAAAAGGTGATTCCTTCAGATGCGATTGTTACAAAGGCTACGTATTGATGGAAGACGGTGTTTCATGTAAGCCACAGAAGCGGTCTCTCCAGAAAGGAGGAAGGTATATATTATATTATCTAATAAATGACGGTAAAGGGAAAGAAAGAATCCTCCAAAGTATGATCTAACCTACTTCAATACCCAACCTTACTCTGTAATGATAGATAGATTACAAACCAGACTCAACCTAAGCTGTTACTATCCCTCACCCAATTATATCCTCTAACAGTGTATAGAGACCACTAAATAACTAAAAAAAACTATTAATTGGGACAATATACCATAGCGAATGAAAAAAATATAATAATATGTAGTATAGTTCAGAACGACTGAAAACTAGGTCATCTTATTGAAGATGTTCATCTAGAGGGATAGCTGTAAAAATTTTGGACCAATTGGCTCTTGAGTTATGAATACACGGACCTCTTACTTGTAGAAAATCAGTAACACTATCCATGACAATAATTATAGAATTTCCACATTTATTCAAGTCGCGTTACGATAACTAGTCCAGCTGATGAAGCTACCGTGTAGCGAAACTCATCTCAAATAAACTCCATTGTGAAACTTATAATTTTTATCATAGACAATTGGCTTTTGGATACCCCTCGCAACACAGGTGACGCAAAATGTCAGAAACAGTCTTTTTGATTGCTTGGTCTGGCTTTTCCATTTCATCAAAGTCCGGTGACACTGCCATTGCTTTTCCCTCCCATCTTTCAATGATACCTATTTCGACAATCTTGTTTCCTGTACTGGTTTGTACAGATCCCTTGCTGGATTGATGTCACATTCTCCTGGACATAATTTGATTTGACCATGAATTGTTTGATATCCTGAATTTGGAACCTTTGGCGTGAAAAAAATCTATTGAAAATACTTTTTCCTACTCAGAACGAAAGTGTTGTCTCTCGACGTGTTTCTCTCAACAATTTAGCATCATCAGGAGCTGACTAAGACTTCATTTTTGTTCTGGTGAGAGGAAAGTGTTTTCAAAAGATATATAAATGGTGTGCTTCCTTTGATCCAGTGCCTCACATTCATGTGAAACATGACGAGCTGTCTCTATCCCTTCATGGCAAGGCCTGCAGCTGGGGTATCCGTAATACAACCTTATATGTTCAATGTATATTCAATGTCTATGCAATTATTCTCGATCGATACGCTGAAGCTGTTTTTTAAAGATTTTGGTATGTGTGTGTTCAGACGTATATTTTCAGTTCTGTTTTATTAACCCATTTACTGATCTGTGCCCATAACATTGACTTTCAGACCCTCACAACTAGTTCAGGGCCCATATATGGAGTTGACGATTTCTATCTATAGTATGACAAGTTATTAAAAAAAATGTCATTCATAGACAACCACATGGAGAGCTCTGCATATTTCTCCGGAATTATGTTACCGTCAGTTGAAAGTTTCGTGTGCTCTCGTGTGGACCAAATTACTTACTCAATATGGACACATCACGAAAAACTTTCTTCACAATCGGCCTACTTGTACTTTCATTCTCGTTGGTCCACTATTTTCTGATTTCATGAATTACGTTTCGAGAGGCAGCCAGATCCTCTTCATACAATCTAAGTTGGATTTTCATATAGGTATCGACGTGGGGAGAAATGAGGTCAATATATTTCTCGAAGAGTGCGCTTCTCGTAGATCTTTCCTCAATCAAGCCATCCCTTCACCTCATTTGAAACAGGAGATCTCTTCCGCGCCCATCTCTCACGCTCTCAACCTGAAAACAAAAAAGTTCACGATTTTGTTTGACATGCCCTATCGCATACAAAGCAAATTAGTTATGCCACCTACGTGTTAGCACTCCCGGAAACTCTCGAGGAGTTTTCCATACACCTCTGCGTGGAAAAAGTACCGTGGAAATTTTCTCCTTTCACTAAGACTGGGTCATAGTGAAGTGCAAAAATCTGAGGGCAGTTGAACCTGTATGATGGGTTGCCTTCAACACAGGTACATATTTTACGAAAATACAGACTGCGTTTTTTTCAAAAATCTTCCGTTTTTTATCGGCTTTCTTATAGTACGAGATGAGCTTTTTTCTTACGAAGTTTCTAATTGTGAAATAAGTGGAAAGTGCACAAAACCTATGCAGTTCTTCCTTGTTGTGGTGTTGCTGCTCTGTTGCAATTGTTGTTGAGTCGATCGTGCATATGAATCATCGTCTTCAGCTGTTTGATATAAAAAACTGGTTTGTTTCCAGTGATTCTTGAACATCCTCTTTCTTCAGTTTCTCTGGCAGTCTGAAACCAGTCTAGATATCAGTTTCGTGCCCCAAGTGTAGTCTGGCTGTCTGTAGGAATATTTTTTCATGTCCTTGTTGAGGTCTCAAATTATCATTTTCTACGGATTACATGATTATATATAGGTCTGGAACACGAAAACCCATTTGACCAAACGTAATGCTCTAATGTGAATTTTCGCCTGTAAAGTATTTTTCCGCTCCCATACAAATTCGGTTTTCGACAAGTCTATATTTTTGAACTTACTATAGTTCATTGTGATTCATCTTGAGTTGAAGATGTAGGAGCCTCAGTCCTTGTTCGTACGGAGGAATAATGTCGTATGAGTACTGATATCTGCAATATTTTTTTTTGTAGGTGTGAGAAGAACAACCCCTGTGATCATGATTGTATGGATACTGGCACAGCTATCAAATGTTTATGTCGCGAAGGGTATGAGCTTGCAGAAGACAATAGAACTTGTAAAGGTGAGACTAAAATTTTAAAATATAGATTTCGCACGATAGAATAACCTTTGAACGTCACTTGATGTATTCAAAGATTTGACCTGAATTATCTCACTTTATTTGTCGATTAGTGTCATAATGATCTTAAAATACTTACTTTTCATTTTTATCAAAGTTGAAATATTTTTTTCACATCCTGATTTACTTCAGAGAATGTTCTTTAAAAGCCAAATTGTATCTCAATCGGGTTCACCGGATCAACGATATCTTTTAAATGTGTACCGAAAATTTCAAAGTAAAGAAAGTAATTTTCATTGGGGTTATTTGAAAAATGAAATTTACAGAGATTCCTGTGCTGATGTGGACACTTTATAATGAAAAATATATGAAAGGTTGTAATCTGAAGATGGCAGACGGCCATGCTGAAATGTTCAAGCAGCCTAACAACAATGAATTAAAGTGTTGGCGTCTTGAGCACCAGTCAAGACCCGACAAGTGATTCAATATGATATTCAATATTCTGAAACAATAATGTTTTGTGCTGACTAGCGATTCTCGAAAAAGACCAGAATTAACGAATGGCATTTACAGATATATCTGAAATAAGCAAAATTATGGCGAAGGAGAACAAATGTATCCGTAAATAAAAATATTAACAATATTATAAATTCGAATTTAATAATAACTGTGAATATTTTTCACCTTTTGTACGAACATGAAATGATATGAAATATTGATGTCGTAACCCTGTTCCATAGATTTTGATGATAGTTCGAGCAGGAATTGAATGTTTAACAGAAGTTGAACGCTATGGAGTCCATCACGGCCTACCAAGATAAACAACCTGCTCTACCGTTGAAGGGTATTCAGTGTCACAATACCAGATGCAAAGAACGCCGTGAGTTATCTAAAACTTGTATGAATATGATATCAGCGTGTGCCATCATAAAGAATATTTTTTGGAATAACGCGGTCCTACGAGTGAAATATTATAATGTTCGACACTGCTAAGGTGTTTACAACAGACTTATACCAATTTATATATTGTATTCGCTGGAAGTATTTGAAACTACTGAATTCCCACCCTCAGACAGCTTGATTTATTCGACCACCAAAGTGAAAAAATAGAGGAGAAACACTGTTGATGAATCGAGATTCATTTTCATAACTCCGCAGACTATTCAGACCATTCAGTTCAAACGGTTAATTCATTTGATCGTTATGTAGACGGAAAGCAAGTATTCGTATCTCATTTACATTTCTAGACCTGACAAATTCCAACAAAGTTTCAGATAATGTCAGATATTTTTTAGTGTAACTTTGTTCAACTCTCTATTTTCAGATATCGATGAATGTACACGAAACCTCCACGATTGTGTATCCGTTACTGATTGCATAAATGAAATCGGAACTTACTCCTGTTACGATCCGATCCTGCCGGATGAAAATGAAACTATAGATTTTGAGAATAAATGCCCTCCAGGATATTACTATAATTTGAAAAAAATGGTTTGCGATGGTGAGAAAAACACTTGTTTCTGTACAAAATGTCTATAATATCGGTCTAAACTTACTCTCTTATACATTTCAGATATCGACGAATGTCAGTTCGATCTTATATGCATTCCACCAAAAACCTGCAGAAATACTATTGGATCATTCGTATGCGAAGGAGAAGATACTCCTCAATGCCCCCCAGGGTTTCATTTCAAAGCAGCTACGCAAACATGTACTGGTATGTACTGAAAACCAATATATTTTTATTTTTATCTCAGCTATCTTTATTTAGATATTGACGAGTGCCTTCTTGGGCAAAACGATTGCAATAAGGAATCGCAGGTGTGTTTGAATACCAAAGGGAATTATACCTGCGTGGACAAAGCCTCTAGAAATGCATGTCCGCCAGGGTTCAAGAAAAATTCCAACACTCAACTATGTGAAGGTACGAGAGCATTAATCAATTCCAAAATCAACCAGAGGGTTCTCAATTTTATTACTAATGTTTCGCAGATATCAACGAATGTGAGGAGGAAGATAATTTATGTCCAGAAAATGAAATGTGTGTGAATGAACTAGGAGGGCACACGTGCATTCCTTTCCAGGAAACAGTTGTTAGCAAATTTACAACAACACCTACAACTAGTAGGACAACTACAAGGACTACAACCGAATTGATTCCGACACGTCGACGAATCTCTTGTCCTAAAGGTTACAGTTACTATGAAGAATCAAATGTCTGTGCAGGTATACAAAAAAGGAAAAAAAACTTTTATAACCATTAGCCAAAAGACTTCGCACTGTAGTGATCCAGTATCTTTTTCCAGATATAAATGAATGTCAAATGGGACTCCACGATTGTGAAGTTGCAGAAAGGTGTGACAATACCATTGGATCGTATCATTGTTCCAGAATTCTGGGATGTGGAACAGGATACACGTTGAATGGAAATAACGGCCTTTGCGAAGATGATGATGAGTGTTCTTTAAAAACCGACAACTGCAAAGAATTAGGTCCAAACTTCAAGTGTAGAAATACGCTGGGGTCATATCGATGCGAGCCTCTTCGACACAAATCTCCAAGGCCTACCGTAGTGACGACCACAGGCAGGAGTTCTAGTACCAGCACAACTACCAATCGTTCACCATTTCAAAATTCAATGAACAATTCTCAATCCCAATATACTTATCCAACATTCGGTTACCCCACCTTAACACCCAAAATACGTCCCACTTCTGAAAAAGACACAGTATATGGCACTGCAATCCCTTTCAGAAAGGACTACACAAGTACCTCTGACACAAATAAACTTGTGGCTGCAACTATTATCCCTGTCCATGGAGATCCTCCAGACTCTTCAGATATAAGAAATCGTGTCGCTGGAACTGTGATTCCAATCAAGAGAGAAGAAGCTTCGACACCAACTGCTACAACAACAGGTCAATCTTCTTCTCTTCATAACACCATCGTTTTCAAACCCTACCCAACCCCTTCTGGGACTCTGCCGTATTATTCACCCCGATGGACAACTCCCACAACTCCCTTTGGAACTCTACCATATTACTCGCCAAGGCAAACGACAATGACGACGACAACAACTACAACAACCCAAAGGTCTGTCAGACCAATTCCGTTTTATCCTGTTATAAGTGGCCAGCTGAAGAAATGTTTACCTGGCTATAGAATGAATTACAAAGGAGAATGTGAAGGTAAATATGATAGTTCCATTTACATATGCTTCAAAACAAAAACCCCAGATAATTTACAACAGAAAAATGTAACAAAATTGCCAAAAGATGAAAATAACATCAATTTTACCTTGTGTTACTCCAGAAGTCTCTTAATATGGTCATAGAGTTCCAATGTTAATTTTGATTCCAAAACCATTTTATCGAACTGAATAAACATGGTTCATTTCAATTTACCAAAAAAATATACTTCTGTACACTATTTACTCAACTTCTAAATATTTATCACTTCTCAAAACTTAATTTGTAGTGGTTTTTTTTATAGAATCTGCAGATGAATCTCAGCAATTGCTTTTGTTACTGGTTCGATTAAATAAATCTTGGTAGTTGAAAGAACCGTATATACTGTTGCATATTTTCAGAAAATTCATCATTCATATTTATTAGAGGTGAAATACATTTTCCAATTTTTATCATCATCTGAATTTGCGAGTAGATTTTTGTCATGAAACATGTCGAAGTAAATCAAATAACCAGAAGTAACACCATATTTTGTAGCCAAATCTAATTGGTTTCCCTCTGATGTTTACATGAATGTTACCCATAATGGTTATGACATATCAAAATCTAGATGTTCTTCTAGTATAATATCAAGTTAATTGAAAATTTATTTTTTTATTTGTTCATAAATGGTGTTATTTTCCACATTTTGTCGATGCTATCAATTTTAACATTGTTAGCACAGCGGACATATTTTATAACTTGTCATATTGTTACTTATCTTCGTAGATATATTTCCAAAGATACTTGGAATGGAACAATCTTTGAAGGGGTCATAATTTCCCCCACGAAATTGTCTAGTATGAGAATCAAAGTCTTCGTCTAACCAAGAGACATTTTTACATGTAAGTTCAGGAATACCTTCAGTCGAAGCACAATGTTACGTTTCTATCATTTTCCAGTTGTTTGTTATGTGATATATTATTGTTGTTGTTTACATTTTTTGATCTTCTACAATCTCGCACGAAGATTATTGCTTGTGTACGAAGTGTTAAGTGTTTGAATTATCCACCAAACCACGATCTTCATCCCCAGAATCTTCGTCAGTGCAAATATTGAAATGAAATGAAATGTCAATTACTCACTAAATGAATGAAAGAACATAACTTTCGAGGACATTAGAACACACAATCAATAAGCGATTGCGTACGAAAACGCCATAAAATACCATTGATCACATTCAATTTAAAATAAATTGGGTAGTATGAAGCATTCATTTATCATTTTTTGTCAAATGTTTGCTGCATACCATTTCATCATCATGAATGATGATACAATAACCGAACGTCAATATTTTTCTGGACCAAATGATTTTTATTTTTCACATCTGTGAACTGTCACTTACTTTTGCAAGTTTTATTAGGTTTCGAGAAAATTGCATGTTTCTTTTCACTGGTTAGTTGAATTACTTTTGAAGCATTCAGTGAAAGATGTTGTCAGAAAAAAAATAACTTGTCATCTTTACCATACGGCAACACAAGCCGTTAGTGGGTTAGGAGTCTTGTTATTTCTTGACATAATTGCATATTCGAACCTAGAATTATTCAATTTAACGGATTCCGATATTAAAAAAATCAGGTTAACTTTGAAATGAAAATCAGGTTCAAGGTAAAATCCAGTTGAGAACTGAGAAGCTCTTGCTCCTAATTCGATGTTACAAGGAGGGTTAGTTGAAGTCAATAGTGGACGTCCATCTCCATTTTAGACTCAGGGTCGAATTATTTGGTTGCTTTAGTGCCCATGATGGAGCCCACAATTAGCTATTGCTATTTTCGAAAAGTTGCTACAATTTTTTTCCTGTCAAAAATTTTTTGTTTCTATGAAAACATGTACAAAGCACTTTTTACGTAGAATTCAATGGTGTAAAAGACTCATTTTTTGAAATAGAAGATATCAATAATTATTGATGGAAAACTATTTTTTAATGAGACACATATTCCTGCAATCTCAATAGAGCCTAAAAATTACCTTCCCAAAAATTAAGCACGTTCGATGTTTTGTTGGAATCATCTTTGAAATATAGAGCTTCTAGATTTTTTCATATAGACTTTGAAACGCACATTTTGATCAAGTAGGCTTTGGACGATGCGACGATAAAACAGAATGCAAATCTTTACGGGTAGCTGTCAGATTGTGATATAAGCAGTAAAGACGATTTTGTTGAATTTTTTGTGTCTTTTTCGTGTCTGAAAGTTACTTCTTTGCATGATCTACACATCTCTGTACAGAGTTGATTTTTTGAAATTGATTGCTTCCTTCCTTTCCTTGGAAGAATCTGTTTTATTCGTTCTACGGATTAACCTTTTATATAAGTTTGAATTACTTTATAGAATTTTATTTAATAAAAACATTGTGTGTTGTTACAACTCATCGGCCATAATTCTAATCCCCAGAACACCTCCATATGTCAATAGTCAAAAAAAAAACTCTTCTTCTTTTTTCATAACTCTGGTAAAGGTAGATAATACAACATCCCCCTCTAAGATGATACATCTTCAGCATAACTACTGACTAATCTTCACGATAGCGTAAAGGTCTAAAAACCGCTCTCCCAGAGCGTGTTATATTGTTACCCTGCTCGATATTAAATGGTCCATCAGTTTTCATTGGCGTTGGAAGTCGTGCATGCGTTTTGGGTTGAGTTGGGTGACTTTCCACTTCGACTACCTTTCTCAATGTTTGTTGGTCTTTGGGGTGTTAGTTGTTGAGCAGTCGGTGTAGTTTCTGGAGTCTAATTTGTTTGTTGAATCCCTGACAGTTGTTTCACTATTCCGTCGGGGATATTGCTTAGATATAAAGCAGGTATCAGAGGAAAACGGCTTCTCCTTATGGTGCTGATGGCGGTCTTAACTATGTATGATCTTGGTTTAACTTTGTTAATGATTTCCCCATGTAGTTTCAGGTCGTGTGTGTGTGTCGTTAGACAGTGCAGGTGTTAACTTTCGAGCTCCTATATTTATGTCTATTTTGCACGATTAAAGTTGATAATAATTTTGATTTCGTACCTATGTACCTATTCAATTTCGGTGATTAATTTAAGTGAAGTTGAATCTTGGCTTATCATCTTTTTGAGCTGGAAATGGCCGACAAACTATGCAAAGTCTGCAATAAATCGGTGAATTGAAAAAACCCTAGTTTACAGTGTGGAAGTTTTTGTGCTCGGTTTTATCATGGGCAGTGTATCAATATTGTTGGCAATCAGCTCGATAGCCTTCGAACGGAAGGTGTTTCATGGACATGCTTGGATTGCCGAAGTAGTCCCCGAACAACAGTTGAAGCAGCAGTATTGTTGAATTCACAGCCAATGATTGATGCTCAGAGGTCCGGTGACTCTGCTCTGAATGCATTGGATGAAATCCGTGCCGACTTAAGACAGATCCGAGAACAACAGGCTTTGCTTCTAGAGTATGTTAATTTTTGTAGCAATAAAATATCTGACTTTGAGAAGGAACTCTCAAGGCTTAATGAGTATATCAGAAAAATCGATCAACTATTCAATGAAAACAAAGTAATGAAAAAAGATATGGAGACCCTTCAGTTGAAAATAAACGAAATAGATCAGGCCGCCCGCTCAAATAATATTGAGATACAGGATGTCCCTGAAAAGAATAACGAAGATCTAAACAAAATAATAGAAAAAATTGGGATATATATATATTGATAGCGAATTCAGGCCGACTCCTATCGACTATGTTCACAAAGTTCAGGAGAACCACAACTCCCCTAATGTTAAAGCAAAAAATATGATCTTTAGATTTACATCGAGGAGAGAAAAGGAGCGCTTGTTAATGGCATTCAAGACCAAACGTATCGCTAATGATAGTTCCCCTAAAATGTCTTTGGATGGAATCTCAGATGCATTCTATATCAACGAGCATTTAACTTCAGCAAACAAAATATTGTATAAAGGAAGTCAGGCTAGCTGCGAAAAATAAAGAATACAAGTATGTCTGGGTGAAAAATGGTGTAATTTTCTGTAGACAGTCTGATTCTTTCACAATAATAGCCATAAAAAATCAAGACTCAATCAATAAAATGTAAATTGTGCTTCACGATTACAGATCACGCCTCCTATAGTAGTTACTCTTTCCGTGGATAAGTTAATGATAAACGGACAGAATGTTAATGGATTACGTTCAAAACTGATGGAATTTAAACTCAATACATTGAATATTTTGGCTGATCTTTATCTGATAACTGAAACTGACTCCGAAGTTTTTGATGTGTCTCATTACAATCTCTTTCGGCGTGATTAGAAAAGTGCCTTTTGTTCTGATGTAAAAAAAATCTGGAGGGGGTGTCCTAATAGGTGTTCGAAAACAAATTAAAGTTGTGCTTCGAGAACAATTCCAAAGTGAAGCAGAAGGTTTATGGATCACTATCTTCAACGACGACAATAGTTTCAAGGTAAGTACATATTTGCTGTGTTTATTTACCACCCAGGAATGACTACGCAAGAACGTGTTTTGCTCTAAAACTTCAACAAAATCTTGATGAACTTACAGATGATCCGATACTTATATTTGGATACTTCAACTTTCCATATATTAAATGGGTTCCCAGTGAATGTAACACTTTTTTTGTTCCAACCAACACTGATAACACCAATTCTCCTCTGATTGACCTTTTATCATTTGGTGAATTTTCCCAATATAATAGTTTGAAAAATGTAGATAATAGAACATTAGATTTACTTTTTTGTTCGATAATCCAAGTGACAAACTTATCATCACTGTGCATACGCAGATGATTTAAGTATCATTGGTGTTGTATTCATCTGACACTAATTTACTGAATATTAAATGTAGTGATGTGATGAATAATGTATCAATTTTTTTCATTGGATATTTTTCATTATTCAATACAGAAAAAACAGAAATAGTTGGTTTTCACAATCTTCAGAAGGCAATAAAAAAATCTAGATTTTGAAGGTGTTTCCAGTGAAGAATAACCACTATCAA